GTCATTTCCTGACTTATTAATTTTAGCCATTCTGACTGGTGTGAGGTGGTATCTCATTGTGGTTTTGTTGTTGTTGTTGTTTTTTTAAAGATTTTATTTATTTATTTGACAGGGAGAGACACAACCAGAGAGGGAACACAAGCAGGGGGAGTGGGAGAGGGAGAAACAGGCTTTCCGCTGAGCACGGAACCCGATGCGGGACTCGATCCCAGGACCCTGGGATCATGACCTGAGCTGAAGGCAGACACTTAACGACTGAGCCACCCAGGTGCCCCTCATTGTGGTTTTGATTTGTATTTCCCTGATGCCAAGTGATGTGGAGCATTTTTTTCACGTGTCTGTTGGCCATTTGTATGTCTTCTTTGGAGAAATGCCTGTTCATGTCTTCTGTCCATTTCTTGATTGGATTATTTGTTCTTTGGGTGTTGAGTTTGATAAATTCTTTATAGATTTTGGACACTAGCCCTTTATCTGATAAGACATTTGCAAATATCTTACTCCCATTCTATAGGTTGTCTTTTAGTTTTGTTGACTGTTTCCTTTGCTGTACTAAAGCTTTTTATCTTGATGAAGCCCCAATAGTTCATTTTTGCCCTTGCTTCCCTTGCTTTGGAGACGTGTCTAGCAAGAAGTTGATGCAGCTGAGGTCAAAGAGGTTGCTGCCTGTGTTCTCCTCTAGGATTTTGATGGATCTCTATCTCACATTTAGGTCTTTCATCCATTTTGAGGTTATTTTTGTGTGTGGTGTAAGAAAATGGTCCAGTTTCATTCTTCTGCATGTGGCTGTCCAATTTTCCCGACACCATTTGTTGAAGAGACTGCCTTTTTTCCATTGGCTATTCTTTCTTATTTTGTCTAAGATTAGTTGACCATAGAGTTGAGGGTCCATTTCTGGGTTCTCTATTCTGTTCCTTTGATCTATGTGGAAAAAGACAATTCCTTGAGAGAGATGAACTACCAACATTCAGTCAAGGAAAAATATAACTTCAGCAGCTCTATCTCTTTAAATAATGTAATAACATATAAAAATGATGATATATCATAACCAAGTGAGATTTATTCCAAGGACACAAGGTTAATTCAACACTTGAAAATCAGTTAATATAATCTTCCATAAGAACATATTAATTTTAAAAAAGCTTCTCAATGGGTGAAGAAAAGACATTTGACAAAATCCAAAACCCTTCCTGATAAAACAAACTCTCAGCAAACTAGAAATAGAAGGTATCAACCTTAAAAATAAAATAACCACTTCTTTTACTAGCAAAATGAGTTTATTCAGGAATAGCAGAGGAATTGCAATTTGGAGTGAGGCAAATCATGGTGAGCCGAGGCAGGTCCAAAGAGACAAAGGGAAGGTCAGCTTTTATTTGGTTTCAGGAGGAAGTTGGGGAGGGTTGTTTCAAACAGTTTATTGGAGAAAACGAGAGTTTGAAGTTGTGGCATTTCCTCATTGGCGGTAAGTGGTGGTTAGTTAGTGTGTTGCTAGGACAGGGAGGGATCTTCCTTCCTTTCTTTAGGAGCAGGAGATTAAATTCCTATGGGAAAAATGTCCTCTTTCATCAAGATAATTCTTATCTTCTTTCTTCCTGCTGGTGATGCAGGCTGCAAGGAGTGGGACATGAGTGACAGTGCTTCTTTGGGGCTTCCTGACTCCATTTTCAAGAGGTTTCCTCTATTTTCACAAAGGAAACATCCTCTTACTGATAAGAACAGCTACAAAAACATTCTACCACCAACATTATTCTTAAAGGACTGAATGCTCTCCCTCTACGATTGGGATGAACAAGGATATGTGCTCTCAGTCCTCCTATTCAGTATCGAAATAGAGGCTCTAGCCAAAGCAATTAGACACAGATTGAAGTAAAAGGCATCCAGACTGGAAAAAAAAGAATAATCTTTTTATTTACAGATAGCGTGATTGTATATGTAGAAAATCCTCAGGTATCTATAGAAAAAGTTACTAGAACAAATAAGTGATTTTAGCAAAGTTAAGATCAGTATACAAAAATCTCTTTTAGTGCTCACTTCGGCAGCACATATACAAAAATCTCTTTTAGGGGTGCCTGGGTGGCTCAGTCGTTAAGTGTCTGCCTTCAGCTCAGGTCATGATCCCAGGGTCCTGGGATCGAGCCCCACATCGAGCTCCCTGCCTGCTTCTCCCTCTCCCACTCCCCCTGCTTGTGTTCCCTCTCTGGCTGTGTCTCTCTCTGTCAAAATAAATAAAAAATAAAAAATAAAAAAAACTTAAAAAAAACCAAAAATCTCTTTTATTTCTATATATTAGCATTTAACAAGCAGAAATTGAAATAAAGATACCATTAACAATAACATGAAATTATGAGAAATAAGTTTGACAAGAGACAGGCAAGATATGTAAACCAAAAACTACAAAACACAGCTGAAAGAAACAAAAGCAGTTCTAAGTAAATGAGAAGATATACCATGTTCATGGACTGAAGTACTCAATATCGTCAAGATATAAATTCTTTCAAACTGATCTATAGATTCAGTGGAATCCCAAACAAAATGCACCAGGCTTTTTTGCTAGAAGTTGACAAGCTGGGTCTAAAATTCATGAGGAAGTGCAAAGGATCTAGGATAACCAAAAAGAACTTTATGAAAACAAAAGTGGAAGATCATACTACCTGATTCAAGAATCATTATAAAGCCACAGCAATGAAGACAGCTTGGAAAATTGGCATAAAAATATGCAAATAGAGGGGTGCCTGGGTGGCTCAGTTGATTGAGCGCCTGACTCTTGATTTCTCCTCAGGTCATGATCTCAGGGTGGGGAGAGGGAGCCCTTGGTCCAGCTCCGTGCTCAGTGGGGAGTCTGCTTGGGATTCTCTCTCTCCCGCTCTCTCTGCTCCCTCCCCCCACTCTCTAAATAATTAAATAAAATCTAAACAATCGGCAAATAGACCAATGAAACACAGTATAGAAATAGGTTCACACACATATAAAGGATCACTGATTTTCAACAGAGGTACAAAGGCAACTCAGCAGAGAAAGGATCATTATTTCAACAAACAGCCCCGGAAACTGGATAGCCATAGGCAGAAAAAACAAACTTGAATTATATCTCACACCATATACCAAAACTAACCCAAAATGGATAATAAATGAAAAATATACAAAGCATGGAACATTCATATAATGCATTACTACTCCGCAGTAAAAGGCATAACTATCGATTATCGCATCAACATGAGTAAACTCGAAATAATTACGCTGACTGAAATGAGCTAGGCAACAAGGGACACGATCACGACTCCGTTTATATGAGTTACAGGAAATGCAAGCTGATGTACAATGACCCAGCAGACTGGTACTTGCCTGGTGAGGGGGCCGGAGGGAAAGGGGAAACTCTGGGCTATTTACTGTGTTGATTGTGGTGACGGCTTTACGGGTGTATACAGATGTCAAACACAGCAAATGTAAATATGAGGTTTTGTGTGTCACTACACCACAATAAGGCTGTTTTCAAAACCCTAAAGATGGCTCCAATCCAGCTTAAATGCTAGACCCCACCCCCACATTACCTACTCAGAACACGGGAGGGTAGGGGCTGGGGCCATGGTCTGGGGCAGGACCCAGCCTGGCGGAGAACACATTAACCAGCTTGGGTGGGCCCGGCTGACCCGCCGGGAAGGCACCGCTCCCAGCCCGGGCGTGAGCCGCACGAGCAGGGGTGGGGTCTGCGGCCCTACGGCCCGCCCCCAGCCGCGCCCACAGACCCTGAAATTTCCATCCCTCCCCGCGCCCCACCCTCCGTCTAAGAGTGACGCCCCGCTCCCGTCCCACATTCCACCCAAGCCCGGCCGTACTCTCCGCCCCAGGCCGGGCCCCGGGTCCTCAAGCCCCGCTTCGTCCTGGCCACGCCCCATCCGAGACTCCGCCCAAGCCCCACCCCTCCACC